TTTTTTTTTTTTTTTTTTCAGCATGTAGTTTGTATTTTGTGTCTTTAACTTGACCTTGACATCTGCAGTGTTGAGATTGCACCCTGTGGAGGCTCCCGTCAGGTGTTCCTCTGGCTCCTGTCACTCTGTCACTACTGTACCTGCCTCACCTGCCGCCTGACGCTCTTTGGTTGCTCAGACTGGCTGCATTTCTCTCCCTTTGAAGTGGATTATCTTTGTGCAGGCTTGGCTCAGCAGTGACGAGCAGAGAAGGAGAGAGAGGGGGAAATTCTATTAAGTTATAAAAGTTTGGGGAAAGTTTTATTTAGAGATGAATAAATTCTTGAAGCACAATTTCCTATTTTGGTCTAGCCAAGTCCAAGGAAATTTATGAAGAAGTTTCATATTGCAGTTATTGAAGTTCAATTTTTACAGATGCATTTGAGCTAGTGAAGATTAGAAATGACAACGCAATAAACCCAGTACATTTAGACAGTGCTGCAGTTTCTATAAGTAGTGTATAGCTGTTTATATTTAATAGTCAGTGGAAGGACTGATATGTTGCTTAGAGGGAGGGAATAGGGTGGGGATCAAAGGTGGAGAAAGTGGCTAAAAATTGTGCTCAATTAAAAGTACCATTACTTCAAAATTATATCCCTTAATATCTCCCTGAAATTCCTCAAGTGGGAGTAAAATGGTTTGGGGAAATTGTTAGTGCCCAGATACTTTTGTTTCTAGTAATATTTTTATTTAAATAACAGTACTCTTACTTGAGTAAAGCTTTTGGTTACTGTTCTCACTGTGAGTAAGACTGTATGACAAAAAATGCTTTAATACATGACTCTAGTTGAGAATTTTCAAGACACCATTTTGGCGATCAACCCGTATTCACTGCTACTCGCATATAACTACTGCTCTGTGCTAACTTTGTTCTCCAACTGTATTTTCTTAATTGGTGATACACGTAGGACTCTGCAAGCCAGGCTGGTGCCACCTAGTGCCTCCGCTCAATTTCATTTGTCTCCAGCGACTAGGTCAGGAATCAGAATACACTAGATGATTTGCAAGAACTCTGGAAGTTGTAGACTGCACACCGGCCAGTCAGCGAAGAGCTGTGAAGGCATGACGTCAAACTCAAGCACCTGTATGGGTCCCTTTTGTGGTACAGCACAACAGCAAACAAAGTGGTCGAGATGGATGTAGACAAAGCCAGACATTCTGTTTTGGCCAAGATTCCCGAGACCAAGGATTTAAAGCCTGAACAAAGAGAAAGTTTGGTGAATTTTATCAAGGGGCAAGACGTTATTGCCCTCTTCCTACGGCGCATTACATGCATCACGACCGAAGCAGCGATTGATTTCACTTCGTGGAAACCGTCTGACGTTGCAGCATTAGAATTTGTTCACGTTTTTTTATTTAACCAATCACTGCTATTTGGTCGTGACGTATGTAATACGCTGCTAATGGGCTTAACTGGTATATTAAATTTTTCCCAAATCCCGTGGGAAGAAGGACAATAACGTCTTTCCCATTGATAAAATTCACCAAACATTGCTTTTGTTTCAGCTTTAAATCCTTGATCTCGAGAACTGTTGACAACACAAAATGTATGGCTCTTTGCTGATTGGCTGGTGCCCGAACTCACACTTCCGGGGTTCTTGCAAACCGTCTAGTGTACTCCAATTCCTGACCTAGTCACTGGAGAGAAATGAAATTGAGTGAAGGCACTAAGTGGCGCCAGCCTGGCTAGTGATCTGTAGCTTTGAAGTGAAAAAGGTGCACCACATAATATGATAAATAGTATAGTATTGTCACATACAGTTACCATTGGACATATAGAGGTTCTTTCTTGCACCTATGGATCCAACAATTTGAGACCGAGAAAATTATTAAACAGAAATATATGAAAGACATTGTTTGGCTCCCTCCTTTTCAATTCCTGCACATAACACACACACAGTGAAGATTTTTAAAGCTGTACTGTGAGCAGAAGAAAACCTAGGCCTGGTATAATCATGAGGCTCTGTTCTCTTGTGTGAACACCAAAGGCAATGTGTAGGGATTATTATCATTACAATAGAACACATATATACACTCACACATAGAAAACGCGGATGGCACGGGATGACATATTTACCAGCAGTATCTGGCAACACATGAAGCACGGTGAAGTACAAAAGGGGATTGGCTTCTTGTGTTTGTGTTTAAAATAAAGTTTACAAAGAAATGTGGGTGCCATGTTTGTTTTTTTTTTTTAAATATGCGCCCAAAAGCAGTGCACAAAATGTTAGTAAAAAGTCCTAATAATTTGGGTAGGGTCTCGTCAAGGTGATAAACAGAACAAAGCATGCTGGGACGGATTAGCGCACAGAAGGAAAAATGAAATAAAGAGATTAAGAATAAACTGCTGAAAAGAAGTGTGCTGGGAAACAAAAACAAGAGACTAGGCAAAGGAATAGAAGACTTAGGTATAAGGGAGGCGAGAACAGGCAGGTGGGGATGCCGTGCAGGTATGATAATGCAGGGGCCAAAATGGTGGAGGGAAATGAGATTTTAAATGGAAAATGACAAGAAAGGAGACCTCGCCATGTTGGAATAAAGTGAAACAGCAGGGAGGAGGGAGGAACAGATTATACCTGGGGACGGAGGAGTTGGGATGAAAAGGCACGGTCACACTGAGAATGAATATACAGGCTGCACACTAGTGTAATGCTTTCTTCTCTGTCTGATACAGTGCTGCTATGGGAGTAGAGCATACAGGAAGTTGTAGATTTGGTATGGTGCAATGCATTGTGGGAGTTCAAAGAGGAGACATAGGGCGACACCAAAGCCTTCATAAAGCCCATCTCTGGTTTTCAACTCTGAATGCAAGTTTGGATGAAAGATCGTGCAGCAGTCATATTTTCTTTTATCATTTGTTAAAGTCATACTTGATTTTTACTTTTAAAAATGAAGGGTTAGGAACCATCCAGTTATTTCGCACTTTCACAACATATTCATAACATCCTAATTATTCACCAATATAAGTGCTTTTCACACACACACACACACAAAACAACAACAACAACAACAACAAAAAAAACATGGAAAATAGACTTGGTATAACCACACCAAACTTTGGGATGTAAATAGTTGAGCCACATGCGTAAACTACAGTATGAAATATGTTATGGCAACCTCAAGCATAATGTAAGTGAAAATAATTATGTTTTCTTTTTTCTTTTTCTTTTTTTTCTTCTGTTTTTTGCACAAATTAACATCAAACTGCAATTTTGCCAGCTTTTGTTCCACTTATTAAAATGCCTGTGCTCTATATGCAAATGGCCATGCACAGTATTTAACAGGCTCAGTGTAGCAGCTGTGGTTCTGGTTGTGTGCCCACCTCCTGCAGACATATAACAGACAGGTGAATTAGTGATTGTAAATTGCCCTTTGGTGTGAATGTGACTGCTATTGGCTGTCTGTCTAAATGTCAGCCCTGTGATTAACTGGGAACTCCCTCAGGTCAACTGTGTTTTATGTCGCAGGCAAATGGAACATGCTCCGGCCGTGATCCTGAACAAGGAGCAAGAATGAGATGGATTGGAAATATTTATTTTTTACAAATAATTGATAATTTAAAGGTCTTATATTATGCAAAATTAACTTTTGTGAGCTTTTAGCCATGTTATCATGTAATCAGAAACATACCTGGAGTTGTGTTTTATTTCCTTCACACATGTTTGAGTAACCCTTTATTATTAGTCTGGCCATACCGGCTTGTCAAAGCCTGATCCCATCAGATCTCAGAAGCTAAGCAGGGCTGGGCCTGGTTAGTACTTGGATAGGACAGCGTTGGGAAAATCAGGTGGCACAGTGAGGTGCCAGTCGCAAAAAACTGTCTTTGTGTCCTTGGCAAGGCACTTCACCCACATTACCTAGTATGAAAGTTGTATGTGTGTGAGTGATTGTGGTGGTCAGGGGGGCTGATGGCACAGACTGGCAGCCTTGCTTCCGTCAGTCTACCCCAGGGCAGCTGTGGCTACAATAGCAACTTACCACCACTGAGTCTGGAATGAATGATTAATGCTCTGTAAAGTGTCTTTGAGTGTCCAGAAAAGCGCTATATATAACTGATGCGTTATTATTATTACTCTGTCTGCATCTCGAAGTTCAAAATGCTCTATTCCACCTTGTGATGTCACAAAGCTGTAGGTTTCAAATTAACAGCTCCTTTTATCTTTTGTTTAGTAGAAATTGTCATTTTTAGGCATTTAGAGCTGGAAACATTTGAAAAAAAAAAAATAAAAATCATATGTAATTGTGTGCTTTTTCTAACAAATATTGCAATTATGCCAGCCAGTACTTAACTACAAAAATCTCATGTATTTTAATATGTTTGTACTTACTTATTTAATAAGAGCCTATGAAGACAAGATTTATTCCTCTATAGAGGACACTGTGTGACATAACTGCTGCATTTGCAATTTTCCAGTTATGACCGTTCAATTTGTGGGTGCAATTGAATTTACAATAATACAGCAAACCAGCTGCTTCCTTGCACATGAGGATTTGCCTATTGATTTGTTTGAGTTTTTTTTTTTTTTTTTTTTTTTTTGCCAGATGCCCTTCCCAGTTCAGCTGTCCTCATTACTGACCATAGACTACGTATATTGTCATAATTCCCTGTGCTTGATTTGAATACATCTATATATTTTAGCAACGTTTTTCACACTTTGAATTGAAGTAGTTCTTAAAAAAATGTTTGCTACCAGAAGTGCTTTCCCCTTTCTTCTTTTTGTCTCCTTCCACCAAAACATACCGTAGGAGGCGGAACCACACTGCGCCGATCAATTTTAAAGCTGTTTTCAACAAAGTGTATGGTATATATAAGATCAAAGAAAATCTCCAGGAAATTCAGCCAAGAAAATCCTTTGTCGGGCTAATTTCAATTTAAGAGAAATGTAATTGTCGTGTTAGTGGCTGTGATATTAACCTGTTTTCTCTCTTCTTCTCTTCTTCTCTGATGCGTTCATCTGCAGGGTGTGGTTCCAGGCAGGCATCAACTTCCTGGCAGTAAAGCCAAGTAACCTGGTGGCGTGGGAGATCAAACAGGAAATGACACCAGGAAGCTCTTCTTTAGCGGTGATCTGTCAGAGGAAAGCCTCCTCCACAGCTGAAAGGTAAGAGACATGGTTTTCTCTTTTATCAGGCTTGAGCTGTTTTTATGTTGTATTAAAGATGGGACACTTTATTCAAGTCTCAGCAGAGCGTACTATTAGAAAAAGAGGCAAAACTCACAATTAGACTTAAACAAACCACAGAGCCACAGGAATTTTCTTTATATCTATATCTATCTATATCTATCTTCTCTCTCTCTCACTCTCTCTCTCTAAAAAACAAAAACAAAACAAAACAAACAAAATATATATATATATATATATATATATATATATATATATATATATATATATATATATATATATATATATATATATATATATATATATATATATATATATATATATATATATATATATATATATATATATATATATATAGATATAGATAGATAGATAGATAGATAGATATATAGAGATATAGATATAGATAGATAGATAGATAGATACAGATATAGATATAGATGTACACACACATAGAAACAAATACAAATATATCAGCTCTACAGTTATATACAAGAGGTTGTAAGGAGAAACTTAGTGATTGGTATGATAGAGTTCATGAGAATGAGGCAAGATGAGGTTTTAAAATAATTTACAGTGAACGAATTGTGTGACTTGGTTTACAATTTTGTCCTGTTTTTGATATTTTTGTTGTCAATGTAGCACAACTTTTTGAAACTATTGATACAGCTACAAATGTAGCTCACCAGCATTAATGCTTTTTTCTGAGCCAAATCTAAACATCTAAACATAAAAAATCTCACTTGATGATTTTCCTCACATGTGCAATTCTATCTTGCTAAATCTTGTGGCATGTGATTTTGCCCCAATGTTACTAAATATCACTATAAACAATGCTATTTCAGATGTATGTAACTTGGAAAAAATCAAGCCAATGGAGCACTAGGGTGCCCAAAGTCCCAGTCATCATCATCATCAAAAAAAAAAATTAAATAAAATCTTTCTTGGATGCTGACTCTCAAACACTGGTAATATCCCATGCCTCCTTTGTTAAGACAATCAAATATTATCTAGTATTTTTAGATGCAAACATTTGAGAAGTAATAAAAAAAACGCTGTTGTCTTTGACCAAATGCATCTGGAAACCAAAAGTTCAGAATAATTTCTCATGAATCAGCACATAGACTTCTACTGACAGTTGTTTTATTCCCCTGTAACGGGTGAGTAAGCAAAATGGTTTGAATAATTACACCGAGTGGAAATGATAAATGAACTTAACATCACACCGTGACACCTAGAGTCTACAGTGTTCAATAGATGGACATATAGGATACTTTGTTTTTGGTCTATTAAAGGAGCATTGTGTAACTTTTCTGTCTTTTTGTAGCTTTTCTCTGTGTAGATGCTATTGCTTTGTCAGAAATGTTTCACAGTGTGGCTTTGAACCTTTCTATCATCATGAAGACCAAACTAGGCCAAATCACTGGTCAGATCTGTGGAGAGGCACCCGCTCACAGTCAGAAAGTCTGTATGTTTAGGTATTTTTGAGCAATAAAAGCACCTGTACTTGAAAAAAAATGTAAGGCAGATCTGTTTAATACTATAGTGTGGAATATTCATAGCAGAGTAATGACATATCCATAGAAACAAGAAGGTGAAGGACCCCTAACCGAAAAGTTACAAAGTGCACTTTTAACTTTGAATCTTGGTGTCACTCTGGTAGGCCTTTCACGATAATTACAATATCGACTTATCGTTCAATATATGGCAGCTGGAACAATGTATTTTGGTCTTCCGTATTTAACGTGGTACTTTTTCTTTACAATAGTGAGGAGATTTTGCAATTTTTGTGTTGTATGGTGAGATTTGAGCTGTAGAGGGTAGAATAAAGAACTGATTTGGCTAATTATTGCTTTATTCTTCCTTGTATTTAATGCAGCTCAGGACTTTTAATGATACTGTCTATTTAAAAAAGTTTACTGGGATTACTTTGCTTTGTGTCAATGGCAAAAAATAATATTATCATTTATCGCAGTATTTCTCTATAGCAATATATTGTGCTTCAAAATGGGTTAGCATGACAGGCCTACTCTTTGGTATAGAGACCTTGGAAGTGAACAGTGATACTTCAAAGTCAAAAGACATGAGTTCTTATACAAGACTTATTTGAAATTTACACAGAGTAGCTTAGTGCATAATATCTCCCCTCGTCTCTCCGTTTCCCCGTAACCTTCACCCAATCCAAACTTTTTTCCTCCTAAAAACTTTTGTGCGTTGGCTGGGACGATTGCTAATGAGTTGTATAAAAGTTTTATGGCCAGACCCAACTTCAATTAGCAGCACTTAGCTACAGCTGTTAGCCACCTCTCCTCTTGACTAATGGACAGCATCAATCACAGCTTCAGTACCAATGTGGCGCAAATGCAATTTAATGTAATACAACAACGCATTTGTGCTTTTTATCAAGAGAAGAGATGAGATCGGTTGTCCTTGCATTGTGCTTATTTGACTGTGCAAAATGGCGATGTGGTTAAAGAAAGCAAGAGCTCAGTAGATGGATGATTAAAAAAAAGAAAAAAAAGAAGATAGTATTTTACATTTAAGCTTGGATCCAGATCACAGTTCTAATCTGGCAATATTTATCTCTGCACCTTAGCCTACAACCTTGTAAAAAGAAGAAAAAAAACAAAAAACATGATTCTTGTGATTTTTTTGTGTGTGTTTTAATGGATGAAGAACTTAAAGGAAACCATTTTACGCTATTTTCTGATCAATGTTATAATTTAGTTTCCTCACGAAAAACATACCTGGAGTTGTTTGTTTCATTCACACAAACTCTGTATATTTAGGACAAGTTTTTCTCTCTAAGAGAAAACACTCTACTCCACCTTGTGATGTCATGTGGTAATACAGGAATTGCTCCACTGTGTTTTTATATTACATACACCTTCACTGGAATCATTTGGATCATTTCAGCCCTTGAACTGCCAATCTCCACTGAACTAAAGGTAAAAGGTAGCTGTTAACTTGAAAACATTTCATGACATCACAAGGTGGAGAGCACTTGAGCTTTGGAGATGTAGACTGACTAATAATAAAGGGTTACGCAGTTATGTGTGAATGAAACAAACAAACACAACCCCATGTGTGTTTTTGATGAGCATCATTATACAGCATTATAACATGGCTTAAATCTCACAAGAGTAAATTTCGTTTAATACAGGGCCTTTAACCCTGAGTTTTAGTCCAGGTCAAGGCATTTTACCATTTCAAGACAGACCCATAATCAAGTAGATGTTTTCTACCCCAATTTATTCATGCTATTTCCTTATTATATGTATTTTTGCACATTGGTACACTTGACCATGTTCACTGATATTTTTAACATTGCATTACACATTCTTAACATTGCATTACAATTGCAAAAGGACGAAGAAAGAATCTAAATCTAAATAGTTTGTACATCTGATTTGGTCACAATGAGCTGTTTCTCCAATATACGGCATGAAAAAAAAAAAAAAAAAAGCTAATTTACAAGAATAAAATTGTGCCTCCCACCTTTAACTTAACTATACCTCCAGGGGTGTGCCGCAAGTATTCAATATGACAATTCACACTGCTACAGCTTAAATGTGCTTTGATCGTACATGGATTTGCCATGTACCTCAATAATAACAAAGCAAGAGATGGATTTCAGGATGTGCAGCCGCTAGGGCCTCGAGCAGAGAAGTTATTTTACACAAGCCAGTATCATCCATCAAAACCATGTTGTTGGAGCTAGCCATGTGCAGTAGAATGGAGGTGATCCCAAACAGCTTCCTTTCTTCCATACAAGCTTTACTACTTATCTATATGTGGCATTCCCCCATCTCGCCCTGAAGGAAGAACTCATCTAAATGACACTAAGGTAAATATAGAAATAGCCGCATTCAGAAATCAGATTATGGTATGGTTTTCACATGCAAACTCTTCAAAGTGACACTAAACAAAGATGTGGCTCAAAGCGGAGATTACAGACCACAACTATTTATGCATGTGGTGCTGCTGTGCTGTGTACTGAAGACACACAACGCTAGGAGAATGTGATAGAGAAAGATTCACTAATGATTCCAGGCTGTAATGTAGAATCTATGTGGGAGGAAGAGTCGCACTATGCACAGTTGCAAGTGTATACAAGGATGTACAAGGATCAGGCTTTAAACTGCTCCTGTGTGGGCGGGAGGGCTAATTAAAAGAGCTCATCTGTATTAATCTGTAATGAGCTCGCGCCGGTGGAGATGTGTAGTGACTTCGCTTTTTATGAATGAAAAGGTGGGAGGAATTATCAGCTACGGCAATTAAGCCTGTGACAATGGATTGATGTACCTACTGTATGTCGGTAAAGGAGGGAATTGAAGTAGTGAATTAAAATGTGCATTTATTTAATAGCTCCACGGATGACTAAAGGACTTTATCTTCGCATAGCAGCTTAACAATATGATCACCTACCTTATCATAAACCAGTCATTTAGGGATCTGTTTGGGTTTCTATGTATTCTTTATGAAGGGCCTGTATGTTGAATAATAAGTGAAGAATATCAGAATAACATTGTTGGATGATTGTTAGGTTACAATGATATAACAGTTACACTTTATCCTCACATGTAAAAATGTATGAAGAATACAAAAGAATGCTTATTATGTTTAAGGTGCACTATGTAGCTTTTTGATTGGGGTCTGTCACCTTCTTGTTTCTATATGTCATTACTTTGCCTGAAATGTTCCATTGTATGACATTAAATTCACAAAGTTGCTCAAAAACGGTCAGAGAATATGTCTAAGGTTTCTACTTGGTTAAAAAACTCTTGTCTCACTTTAAATATCGACAGAACTGTTTCTATGTTTTTTACAAATCGTCACAAACCTCAAAACTATCCTGAAATTCTGATTGAAGGGCAGAAGATTAATCATGTTGAGCAGGTAAAATATCTAGGAATTATTCTGAAACCAAATTTATGTTTTAAAAAGCACATTAAAAAGTTAACAAACACTATAATATT